AGAAAAGAAAAAAAGATACCATGCCCTACCCTATCCCTTACCTGACCATCCTAGGATTTAAACATAAGATCGCTGGCTTGGAAGCCTCATGCTCATCCATTAGAACTTCTCTTAAGGGATTATAAACTGATGCCTTTTGGAGCAAATGAATTCTTATAGAGAATTTGTGACCTTAAAACTATTCCACAATAACACATTATCTACTCCTAAGCTTTTTTAATACCCTCCATCTCTTCTTAATCCAACACTCTAAGGTCATTGAATCATGGAAGACTCATATATTTTATTTAGGAATATGTTGTAAGTTCTGATACAACTGAAGGGTTGATTAGGATCATTAATTTATTTAGACTTGTATGCTTACCTATTTCCATCAAGACTAATCAAGGTTAATGATGCCTTCCTATTAAGCATCCATAATATTATGGTTTGGAGTTCTATGCAAATGTCATTATGCTTTAGGTAATGTCCTGTAACAGTTTCATAAAATACTTGGAATGAATGAGTTCTCTAAATCCTCTAACTTCTATTTTCTAACAATTCCACTAACTACCTTTCTCTCTCCCATTTTCTTCAATCTTTCTATCCCCCTTCTCTTTCTCTCCTGAATTATTGTCTATCATGTCCAATATCAGTAAGCAGACATATATTGCCCCTCAAAAACCTTGTACCATGGGGTAAAATCAACCACAACAACAACAACAACAAATCAGTCAACTACACTCTTTAGTATTTGACGAAAAATTCCTGACCCTCAACATCCAATTTTATGGGCTTGATATGTATTACACTTCATCAGAATTATTCTATGCAATGAGTTTATAAAATTGTTTCAAACAAAACAGCATTTATACAATGTGTTTCTTCAACTTGAAAGGATTGCATATAAAAGTGCAGCTTAACTTAGAAATAACAGACTTCAATTTAAGCAATTAAGGACAATACTTAATTTTACAATAGCAAACCTTTAACCTAGTAAGTACTAGTACCTATGCTCTAATAAAAACTCTATATGGATGGAAAGTAAATAGGGTGAAGAAAGAGGGTATCTTACTGTTTCTCTTGCTGCTGACATTGCAAGAAAGCCTGCCCCCATTTCAACTTCTTGCAACCCAACTACAATAATTCGAACATCTGTAACTGCAGAACCTAGCCATGACATAAGAGAGTTCAAAGCTGCTCGACCTTGTCCAACATTCCATGTACCAGCCAATATTTTTAAATTTTCTATCTTTGTATATAAAAATTCTTTCCCAGCCAATTCAGAACGCAGTATTGCATCAAGAGGTCCTGGAGATGTGACACTCCATCCACGTATACCACCATGATTAGCCAGGGAGAATATATAACCAGCCCCTGAAGCCATTTTTATCACAGGACTGCTGTGTGCTACCCATTCTCCAAGTAGAGTACCATTAAGGTCTAAAACCTGGATAAAACCACTTGAATAACCCACCCATATTTGAGACCCAAAAGTGCACAGGGATAGAACGGCAGAAGAATGGTGCTTGAAATCCAGTAGACGACTGCCATTTCCATCCCATTGGATAAGCAAGCCATTTGCACACCCAACCCAAATCATACCATCAAATGTTATGGCAAGTGCTTCAATTCTCCGATTATCATCTCCAAATCCCCCTTTTGCTGCAACTCTACGAACAGCATCAGCTGCTCCCATAATAGCATTACGTGAGCGCTGGAAGAAACCAAAAGAACTTTGAGTTTTCTCTTTCTTGGAACTAGTAACAATCTTCATCTTGACCTCATCTTCCAAAGTGAAATCTGGTACTAATGAGAAATCCACTTGATTCTCCATTTGACCATCTATATTAAACACTTTCAGTAACTCCCTTGTGCGAGAATCCCTATAATTCACAATTCTTAAACAGTTACACCACAATTAACGGAACACAAGAAATAGATCATAGGAAAAGAAACCTTCATTATAGCAAAGAGAAAACAGGATAGAAATTCTTGCAAATCTAAATGGCAAAAGGTGCAGATTCTCCCCAAAATTGTTGCATTGGAGCAAACCTCCACCAAAAAAAAGTTAGACACAATTTGCCACCCCAAATTTCCATTTTCAAGAAATTGGCCCAAATTTAATGGTTGTTGTTAACTTTCCTTAGACTTTAAGAGTAATAGTTTAAAGAAGTTTAATGGCAACCAGTAAATTTGGACTGATTTCTTGAAAATGGAAATTTGGGGTGGCAAATTGCATCAATATTTTTTTTTGGGTGGTGATTTGCTTCAACGCAGCAATTTTGAGGGGCAATTTGCACATTTGGCCAATCTAAAAATATTGCATATGGGAAACAGACAGACAGGAATTGGTCAGTCTTTTCTACATATCCCAAAAGCATTTGAGTGGACATTGGAACCCCTTAGAAGATGTAATCTTCATATGCATAGCAATTATTACAATGTTTCTCCATGTCACTAGAACACAACTTTTTGATTGTCGTACAGGAGCCGTTAATCTAGAGGATGAGGTGCATATTTCATTTATACTGTGGTTTTGTTCCACCATATACCACACCATGTTCAAAGATATACCGTGAGGAACATATCTTAATGCAACAAAGGTCGAAGGTGGAAGAACCTCCTTCAATGTTTGGCAGAGTGGCTATGACTCGTCTAAATTGGCTATGACATTGACATGTGAAGTGAAAACAAAGATAAGTATTTGCAGGGTGTGCACAAAAGACAATGAAGCAGAGGAAGACCTGCTCATGAAACTCAAACTTCTCAGCTACTGTTTGTCTTTGGGCTATGCCTTCTTTATTTCTTATGACATTGGCACATGAGTATTTGCTGCAGAACTAGATTGCAGTGTTTTATTTGGGATATTTAAGAGGAAAAGGATAACAACAATTTTAATGGGAAACAGTATATAATGGTATTTCATTCATGAATAAAGACAAGTAGATTCTAGCTGTTCTAGTTTGATGATAATGCCCTTTTTCTTTATGCACTTCCCTAATTGTATATTTTGAATATTAACCAACCAAAAAAATAAAATAAAATACTCAAATTTTGTCTATACATACCACAATGCAAATGATAGATAACCAGCACTCCATACTGTTGCTCTGATATTATCAGAGAGGAGACACTTAATATCCGAAGTTAATATAGAACTGAAGCCATTGATTGCAACTTGGCTTCTAAGGTCAATGAATGATCTCTCCACTTCTAAAGCATCCATGCACCTTTCTTCCACTGTTAGGGAAAAAGCACTCGCAATAGCTTCCCATGGCCAAATCTTGATAACACCACCCTCTGAACCTGACCACAAATCCCCTGAATTGAAGACGAAAGGCTGAGGGTCAAAGAAAGATAATAAACTACCTCACATTCATTTATAAGCGGAGAAAGGTGCATTATGCACCAATTGATACAGGCAACTATAAGATATGATTTGGGGAGATGTAATATAAGCCATAGAATGAAGTATTAAAAAAATGATATCATCATATACAAAATTTATGAATGGCTAAATGAATTGATGCCAACTTAACCCAACTCCGAAACAGCTGAGCAAGAAAACATTGTAATATTCAGAATAAATAAGGATGTACTTTATGCATTAATAAACAGACTGCTAACGTACAGAGACTAGCCAAATGACTGGTAAAAAAACTGACCATAAGAAGTGATGACCATAGAAAGAACCGGCCCGTGGTGAGCTTGCCACGAGAATCCCTCCTTGAAGGAACCAGTTCCGGAATCCATCCTCCAGCACCTAACCCTCCCATCTCTATGACCACTCCAGACCACCCCACTACCCTCATCCCCCACCATACACATCACTGCCGCAGAAGCCGGTGGCAATGTTGTCGACACCTCCTTAAACGGCGCTGCATCTTCCTCCTCACCCTCAGCACTTTCTCCGTACAAATCTCTAAAATCCCAAACCCTCACCGCACCACTCTCACTTCCCGCCCATAGCTCACGCTCAGTAGTCACAATCGTCTTCAAAAACCTCTCAATCTGAGTCTCCCTTAGCGGATGCGGCCGAACTTCAAGACTTGGAGGCCTCTTAGGATGCACGGCGCGCCGATCTGGCAGTCTGAAAATCCCTTCACCCCCACCCTTCCCAACAAACTCCGGCAAGGATCCAGGACGGTGAAATCCATCTTCCAAAGGATTGTCCGAGTTGGAATTGGAAGTGCTGAGCTTGCGGTCAAGGAATTGGATCATGCAATCGAGACGGCGGTTGGTGGAGTGGAGGGAGGGGCGGGACTCGTCATCATCGGAGGAAGAAATGGAGTAACGGTCGAAGAATCGCGGCGGTGGAACGTGGTCGTCGGAGTCCATCGGAAGCTGGAATCTAGGTGAAGGAGGCGAAATGGGAGATTTTCATGTGTGTTGTTTTCAGACAGGGGAAGAGGAATCGTCGGACTGTTGGATTAGTAGCAGCTGTCACGTCCGTCCGTCGGGATCTAAAATTATCGTTTGCGCCTAACGGTATACGTGGCATCGGGGCCCAGCTGCCGTAATAGAGTGGAGGGGAAACGAGTCAACTCGCCGGTGAACTAATTGCAATGAGTTGACTACGGGTTTTTACCAAAAAAATAAAAAAAGAGTTGACTACAGGTGCCGGTTTTTTTTTTTTTTTTTTTTACATGAATAATGGTTGCTAGTTAGGTTAGAAATTGTTAATAATTAATGATTCGATCTCTAAAATAAGTGATCTCTCACTCTATCATAAAAGTGCACAACCCATCGGATCTCATGGTAGAGTTCTACGTGTGCCGATTTTAAATAAGAAAAACGTTAGTGTTTGGTTTGGAACATTCCCAATAAATGGACCATAAATTGCAAATGCCAACATTTTTCTCAATTAAAAAAAAATGTCAATGCCAACTCAAAAATGGGTCTAGGTGTTTCGCATCCACTATTTTCAAAAAGAAGCATGTGTTTTAGAGCTCATTATGCCCAAATTGCAAACATCTTAACAGTGAAATTTGTCATTGGTTTCAATAATCTAAATAGGAATGGTAAAATAATTTAACATTTCATTGTATTAATTATGAGGGCTAATGTTTTGTATTTTATGCAAAACAACATGTAGAATATTTTTTCATTTCAAGAAATTATTTGGAGCTTAGAAGTCATTTTTGCTAAAAAAATCATATACCTACCTTGGATTGTCGGTTAGGTTTTGGAGAAAGAAGAGTACCATACGCATTTGAAACCTTTTTAGCCCTCCTCAATTTTTTTTTCCTTTTTTCCTCTTTTATAAATTTAAATACTCGTTTAGAAGAAAATTTTTGAAAAGTTTTAATTTCACACTAGCTTACTCAAAGTGTGTGAGAGAGAAAATTACTTACAAATAAGTTTATTTATAAATTCTATCAAACATACCATCAATTTTTGTAGATCCATATTGTGTTATCTTTTATAATTGCACCTTTAATTACCCCTTATTTCTAACATTATATGAATAATAACATTTCTTTAAATGTTTGATGGGTTATATATCGTACAAAAGTAGACAGATATTTCATTTCCTTAAATTCTTTCTCATTTGATTTAAAATTTAAAATTTAAATATTTAAATTAAAATTTCAATTCTTAAATTTTTAATTAGTTGAGCCATGTTCTAAGGGCATATTAATAACAACATTTTAGGTATAACCATGTTGTTAAAAATTATCATTTTCTTTTTACGATTTTTCAAATTTAAGAAATACAAAATTACTTTTAAGCAATTTTTCAAAAAAAAAAAAAAGGAAAAGAAAAAAGAAAAAGAACATGCCAAACGACCCCTTAAACAAATTAGACAAGCCCAGCTTGAGTGACTTGATGGGTCGACCCATTAACACCCCAATTATTAATGATTTTTTAATACTCTTCAAAAGGGGAGGAGCAGGAGATCAGTTAATTTGGATTTTGGGCTTTAAATTCTTGGTGCCCACCTATTGTTGGAGTCTGTGGGGTTATTGGAATTGGGCCTCAAGGTTATAATTAAGGTCCTAGTCCTTCTCCCTTCTAACGGTCAAAAAACCAATGGTTATTTACAGTCATAAGGCCGAATCTGAGGCTATTATAATAGGGCCGTTGGTTAGATTAGTTGCCTTATTTATGTTGGTTAACTGCTATTGACAGCTATTATAAAAGGTCCTTTAATGGCTTAAACCCAATTTCGTAATTTCCCTCAAAATTTTGGAAGAGTTTGATGTTTTACTATTTAAATTATATCATATTATAAAACAATAATTATTAGATGAAGAGTCCTCTTCCAATATCAAGCACCCTCTCAATTTAATAATTAATATTTTATAATTTAGTAAAATTTAATTTACGACATACTTTTTTTGATTTTGTTATCACCTAAATAAAATCAAATAATTTGAACTTATTGCAGCTATAGCATTTTTTTTATTCACAATCAATGTATTTTTTGGTTAATTGTCATTTATTTTAAGACAACTATCAGTTTATTGATCTTAAAAATATAGCCCCACATCTATCTAATAAAAAGTTCAAGAAAATTTCCCTCAAAAAAAATAAAGTTCAAGAAAATTAACTAATAGCCTGGTAGCCCTAAAATATGAAAATTTGCACATGACCTACAATGCTATTCTTAAGGTTGTATTTATAGTATAATAAATTTCCCCATGACCTACTGCATCTATAGTTGACGTTACCCCTAATCACTTTAAAGCCAACCAATGGGTTTATTGAGACATGGTGGTTAATAGTAGTATATATGAAAAATACTAATAAATTATTGATTTGAGTAAAAAAATTGATTTTTTTAGGAAAATTTTGAATTTAAATATTATAAATAAATAAATAAGTGCTATGAGAGTTTTTTTTTATTATAAGATCTCACGTAATTTAATTTTAAATTAATTAAAATCTAACATAATTTTTAAATATTAAAAATTTAATAAGAAAATGTATATATGAAAAATGAGAAATTAGAGGAAGCAATGGGGATAAGTGGACATTGGAATCTTAAATTTATAGACATGACAAGCACTAAAATCGCATGCTAAGAACCCACTTAATTATATGCGGCCAATAGAAAAAGAGCCCATTTTTCAAAATCAACTTGGTGCTTAGATGCACCAACACATGTTACACATCCATAGTAGGCATTATTATTATTTTGCAAAAAGTTGTCATAAATTTAAATTTTATAAATAAATAAATATGTACTAAAATAATTTTTTTATAAGATTTCATATAATTTAATTTTAAATTAATTAAAACTTAATAAAATTTTTAAATATTGAGAATTTAATAAAAGGAAGTATATATGAAAAATGAGATATTAGAAAATGTAATGGGGATAAGTGGACATTAGAATCTTAAATTTATAGACATGACAAGCACTAAAATCGCATGCGAAGAACCCACTAAATTATCTGCAGCTAATGGAAGAAGAGCCCATTTTCCACAATCAACTTGGTCCTTATAGGCACCGACACATCCATAGTCGCCATTATTATTATTATTATTATTGCAAAAGGTCACCATTAATTTACCGTACACGAAAGCGAACTTAACTGAAAATGGTTATGGGGAACCTAACTTTTGTTACTTTTGTCATAAAAAATTGTTAAAATTTTAATTTAATTTAATTATTAAAAATAATTTATAATTAATAAA